TGAAAATTGTCGGAATGAATTATTGTGCGATAGTACAAAACTCATTGAACATTTAAATGAATTACATAAATTACGTTTCGTTAATTTACATCATGTTTATTTAATCCTCGAAAGTTACTTGGACAGTTGGGCAAAAAGTATTAAAGATGATGGTGTTATTCGACAATTAGAAACCGAAATTGATAATGAGGGTAATAACATATTCTTATTATTTTCCAAACATTTATTCCTCTTAAAATTAAAACTTTTTTTTGATTAGGCAATAAAGTGTATGTGATTGACCCAGATCATTTGCCGGAGGATAAGATTCTACGAGAAAAACTTCATCTTGATAAATTGGTATTTATTGATTCAATCACCTTTTTTTTAATTAAAAATCTTAATTAAATTAAATTTAAATTTGCATTTATAGAATGAAGTTTTACAAATTCAAGCATATGAACGAAATAATGATGCTAAAATAGGACAAAAATGCTTATTTTGTAAAAATATTTGTGAAAACAGGTAAATGGTTGATTCTTTTCGATGTATTCTTTTTAATTTGTAAGGAAACAAAAGGGTGATCTAATCCTTATTTTGATCAATAGAGCGGTATTGTTTCGTCATATGTTTACCGAACATAACTTCAATATAGGATTGCCAGATAATCTTGTAAATGTCAACAAATTTTTAACAATTTTAGAAGATAAATTAAACGGGTGCGATTTTGTGCCATCTTATTTTAATTCATTTGAGAAAAATCATAAATGATTAAAAAAATTTTTTTATTCATAAAACAGTCTTCAATGTTTATACTGTGAAAAAATCTTTACTACACCAGCAGTTTTACGTAAACATATGCGTAAAAAGAAACATTTTAAAATTAATGCGAGAAATAAAATTTATGACAAATTTTATGTTATAAATTATTTGGAACCTGGAAAGAATTGGGAGACATTTGAAAATGAACTTTATGAATCTGACGAGGAACTTTACAGAGACGAGTAAATTGTTTATTTAAAAACTGTACCTTTAATCCTTTTTGCTTTTGTTAATTTTCATAAAAAAAAATAACACAAATCTTTATTTATAAAGTCCTTGGGATGATTGGAATGAAGAAGAATATCAACAAACCAAATGTATTTATTGTACAGATGTCTCATCAACCACAAAAGGATGTTTAAACCATATGATTATGCTACACAAGTTTGATTTATTGGAAATTAAAAATGATATGGGTAAAACATTTTGAAATATATATTTTACGTTTAATTACAATCTAAAGATAATTTTATTTATTATTATAATTTTTTTTAAGGACTTGATTTTTATCAAACAATTACTTTAATTAATTACCTTCGTTATAACGTTAAAAATCATACTTGTATGGCATGTTCAACAAAGTATGAAAATTCAAATGATTTGTTAGATCATATGAATGATGAAAATTGTTTACCAAAGTTCCATCATTAAACAATGAATTCTGGAAAGATCCAAAGTAATAACCTCATTTTTATTAATTTATAATAATCCAAAAAAATTAACTTCTAATAAATTTTTTTTTCTTTTTTTTAGATATCTTTTACCAGTTTTACAAGATGATCTATTATTAGTTGGGTTTGAAGAAGACAATGATGAGGATAAAGATGACGATTTACCATTACACATGCCTGACAATACTATTGTAGTACCTGAAGAACCTCCCGAAGTATTAGAAGAACAGTTTAAACATATATTGAAAATTAAATAAAAGGATTTAATATTAATATAGCAATAATGTGTATTTGATGGAAAATTATTAATTACTTGTACCAAATTAATTAGTGTAAATAATGTTGGCAATAATGCAATTTGCTTTTGTAATAGGATTAAATAGGAATAAATTACACGAACTTAATAATAAAACTTAAATTATTACTACTGTTATTACAAAAAGAAGTTCTAAATTTTGAAGATATTATAATAATATAATTTCTTTTAAGATTTTTTTATTCCATGATACTCATACAAGAATCCAGTAGCATACTTATCTTAATAGTTTAATACCCAAATTAATCATGATTCTATTATAGATTCATCCTGACTTGACTTTTTTGATTGTTTCAGCTCTTTTACTATGACCTTTGCATCTTCTTTTGACTAAGAAAAGTGATTAATAACATGATTACACGACCAAATTATTTAATAAATGATTAAAAGAAAAAGAATTAAAGGCATACCGATCCTCCAAATTCTGATAAAATATCAGCATGCTTCATGCATTCTTCTATTTCGCCTTTTTCCTTATAATAAGAAGCTAGGTACTTATGTCCATCTTTTCTTTCGTCCGCATCCTCATGTAACTACAAATTGTATAGCTCTGTTAGGCATCATCTCAATAAATCTTTCTTACAGAAAAACTTACATCATCTCGATCTAATAAACGAAGCCAAATGACCGCGGCTTTTTCGGGATCGTAATCTTCATATAATTTAGCCAATTTTGTCATAGCCTGAATTGTATTATTATCATCAATATCTTTTGATTCAAGCGCTCTACTGAATCCTTTAATGGCTTCCACATATAAACATTGTTGTTCATAGAGCGCCGCTAACCTTAACCACATTCTAGCATCATACGGTCTAATTATGAAAAGAAAAAAAAAACTTTATTTAATATTAAAAATATATTTATAAACGAAAAAATATAACTTACATCGTACCTTAATGCAGATGAACGTTGATAGTAATAAATTGCATAAAATGGCATATTCAATAACTCATAAATTTGCCCAAGCCCACACCACGCTCTATAATCTTTTGGATTTACTTCTAATAAAATGAACAATAAAAAGATGATGATTTGATTTGTTAGAAAAAAAGATATTTAAAGTTTTAAGTATAAAAAAGGAATTTATGAATTTCAAATTACCTACTGCTCTTTTATATGAAATTATGGCAGCGTGGGTGTTTTTGATTTCCACATATTCATGTCCCATTAATGTCCACGCAGATAAACAGGTTTGGTCAATCTGTAAAGCCCTTCTGAAATATGAAATCGCCTTCTCTCGTTCTCCTTTGGAACTATAATAATTCCCTAAAAAAAAAAAAGAAATCGAATTACTTTTATCAAAAAAAAAAAACAACAAAAAAACTAATGACACAACATTATGAATTACCTAAAGCACACATAGTTTCGGGGCGAAATTTATCCGAATATACGCACATATGAGCTAAAATACTTAATTTTGCACTTTTCCCATCGACTACATACAAAACATTCGAATAAATGTCCATGTCATCTATTCTATATGGATCAGATTTGAGTAATCTATCAAACGTTATCTCAGAAAAATCATAATCTAAAACGAATTAAAGGTGATTACGTTAGAATTTTTTTTTTTCAAACTCGTAACCTAAATCTTTGAAAAGGTTTACAATATAAATACCCCGATTATTATAATACATTGTGGCTTGTTTTGTTTGTAAGAATCTATTATTTACATATTCCGGTGGAAATTCCGCAACGATATCAATAAATGCTTGAGGAAGGTCTTGTAATTCGACCGACATGTGCAGTTTAAAAAACAATGACATAAATGTATTTGGTAATCTGTTTAGTACATCTCTTAACTATTAGTATTAGAAGAAGGAAAATCAAATTAAAAAAAATGAATTCAAAATAAAACAATATACTTAATTTCAAAAAAAAACCATAATACCATATCTTTATTATTGATGCATTCACCTAACTCAACCCAAGCACTCCAATTATAATAAAAATTCTGAACTGATTCCAGGAATAAATCCTTAAGATTCTTGTCTTGGGGATATAATTGTTTGCGCATGACTGCATATCTTTAATAGAAAATTGAAATAAGTATTTAATATAAAAGAAATTTATAAATAAATGTACTTTTAAAAGCTCACATGTAAAGCAGAAAACCATCATTCATTTCATGAGAGTCACGCCAAGATTCCATTTCTTCCATTAATTTAGGTATCTCCTTGTTAAAAGTCTTTAAATCGTTCATTGGACCCATAATATCATGACTTTCTTCATCCTTTCGTTTTTCTCCGGCCTAAATAAATAAAAAAATTTAACAGGACTCGTTAATTACTATTTCAAAACCAACCATTGACTTACCAAATACTTTGAATATATTCTTAAAAATCTGCATTTTGAAGATTTACATGATTCAAGAAAGTAAGCAGCTCTATCGAATTCCTTAACATCATAATAACTTTTGCTCAAAAGATATTTATCATATTCTGCTGGATCAATATTCGTTAAATCTTTATCAAGGGTGGATGATAAAGTATAAATATTCTCTTGTATACTAGAATCGATTGATATATCCATTTCTGAAGTATCAATGGGTTGATCAGGTAATCCTTCTAATGTTTCAGCTATCCTAAAATTGAATATTTGTATTAAAATTTATAATAAAAAACGAAAAAAAATGAATGAAATGATTAGAAATACCATTTTGTAGAAAAATAAAGACCTCGTTCAGAACAATGTACAGCGGCTTCACGTAAAACTTTTTTCATTTCATTTACAGGAAAAAACTCATAACATGAAGGTTTTAAACCAGTTTCAAGGTTCATTTTTGATAGGTGATAATTTAATTCGTTCAATATGAAAAATTTTTGAAGTAAAACGTGTAAGAAAAAAATCATTTGATCGGCGAAATCAAAAACTTTTATAACATTTCACGTGACACAAGATCGATAACATTAATTTTTAATGTTTACATATAATATTTCACTTTTTTTATAGAGGAAAATATAATAGAAATTAAAGCAAAGAACTTGTAAAGGCTACGATACGAATCACCAATCTTTAGAATATTTTTTAAAAAAAAGAATGGAGCATACGTGTTTACGTGTTTTGTAATTTTAATACTACGCATACACCGCTATTATATTTTCATATTATCAAATTTTTAAACTCTGAAGTTAAAAATTTTGCCAGAAAATTTTCAAAAATTTTTAGTGAAATTTTACAAGTCACTGAATAAAAATGAAAGATTACACATTTCAAAAGGCTTGAGATCCATTCGTGTTGGTAAGACTAGAGAATGAAAAAAGACAAATTCTTGAATTTTTACGACGTTCCTTAACATTTACTTCGACGTGCATGTACTCCATAAGTTTGTTATCCTTAAGATCTATTGTCAGTTTAAGGTTAACCGGATTTTGGAAGAGGAATCGTTAGATGGCCGATAATTTTGATTCCACTACCGTTTGTTCTTCACAGTAAGACGGTTCATCATATCAATTTCTTTTTTTTTTTTTTTAGACGAACTTTATTGAAGGATATTCCACATTGTGGCTACTATTTGTTTCTATCACTTCAATTATTGAAGGAATAATGATTGCTGAAGGTAAACGTGTGCATGTTGACGGATCCTCTTAAATAAGAAACAAGCCATCGGGAGCCTGAGAAAGTAAATAAATGAAGTAATTCATTATACTTTTTTATTATTATTATTATGGCTATTTTATGGATTAATTTCGATAGAAAATGCTATTATTAATTTGCATACCCTGGATTCGGAAAGAAGACCCAGAGCAATAAATTGCGCTACATCACCTGCAGCAAGATTTAAGAGTTGAAGGAAAGCTCGTAATCTATAATTTGTTGTCATTCGTGAAATGTACACTTCATGAAAGTGCGGGCACCAAACGTTCTTGTAGTAATATGGTTAGAAAATCTATACAATCTTAAAACAATAAGAAGTCATCCGCGCCCTCATCTTTTCATATCGCTTAAATAAATCTTTAATTCACATAATGGTTTTTTTGACAGAATGCTGTATATAAACGGCATTATTCATTCTACTCAATAATCATACCCTTCAGATTATTTTTTGAAAAAACTTAAACGTTAAAAATAAACCAAAACGAGGCAAACTTTGTTTTGAACAAATTTTTATATAAATTAAATTGCTGCACAGGAACAAATTAAATTTATGACGTCTAGCGAAATTTTATGTAATTTATCCGCAATTGCGAATAAAAATTAAACATTGCCAACCCTCTAAAATAGCCAATCAAAATTCAGTTCTTGGTGGAAATATTTTTAAGATGACGATATCCGCGTTTAACTAAGACTTGACTAACCATATACGGAAATCGAACAACATCATTTTTTTTTTTTAGGAAATAATGAGTTTATACCTTTTTAGGAATACAATCAATAATCGGGCACGCCAAGTTCGAAGAGCTTCTCGGTCAAATGACGCTTCAATTATTCCATTTGCAATTTGCAATTTTTCAAATATACAAGGAAAAAAAAATCGTGATCATCAAAAAATTTTAATGTCATGCGTAGTGATAAATAGCACAAAACTTTCCCGTTTCCAGATTACATAATTTTTACATTTACTCCTTCTACTCCTTCTCCATCTCATCCCCATTCCTCATGATCCTCTCGCCATTTAAGTTATTTGTATAGCTCATATATTCGTTTGCATTTCCTTTTTATCTCCATGAGATGAACCATTTGGTAGTTTTTTTTTTCTTTTAAAAAAAACAAAAAAGACTACCAAGAAAAATAATGAATTTTTACGAGCTCATCACTGGATGAAGAATCCGCTGGTTAGTATTCTCGAAAATTCTCCATATATACATAAATCTCTCACGTTTTTTAATTTATACATTTTTGGAAGCTATTACAGTCCGCAGTAGATATATCAAATTAACGTTAAATCATCTGCATCTTTTTAGTTAGATTACTTTATTTGGGATAATTTAAATAATGCCTACTTGATGTAATTCTTTTAGGGTAATTAAATTGAAAAAAAACCCATTTTTGAAATTTCTTTTATAGACATTATTTTCCATTATGTCTTCACCAACCCATTATCTTATTTCAGCGCCAGGCAAAGTTATATTGTTTGGTGAACACGCAGTTGTCTATGGAAAGGTACAAAAAATTTCCCAATTAAAATGAAATGTAAAATGAAATTTTACTAAAACTTCAATTTTTTTTATTTAGACGGCAATTGCTGGAAGTCTTGACGGACTTCGCACTTATGTACTTTTTGAAAAACGCGAGGATGGTCTCTTGGAATTAAATTTACCGAAACTTGGTCTTCACCTTCCTTTATTATGGCCGACTTCGGCTCTTCCATATTCCAAAGTAGCTGCGGTTAGCAAAGGTAAATTGTAACCTTTAATTCTTCATTTGATTTAATAAATCAGGGAATTGATTTTTTTTTTGATAAATAGTTGCAGATAATAATTCTTCGCAAGAATTAGCATTTAATGAGGAGCTTTTAAAAGAATTAAAACCAATAGTTCTTGATGGCAACGTTAAAAATAAAGATATTCAAGAAATTAATGAATTTCAACAAATAGCGGCTTCAGTCTTTCTTTACCTTTACACGAGCTTAGAGGATAAACAAACTTCATGGTATGACCCGAATTAATTCAACAAATTGTGAATAACTGTTCAAAAATCTATAACTAAATGATAATTCAATTAAGGAATGGGATGACAGTTCACGTCATTTCCAATTTACCAGTGGGTGCTGGATTAGGATCATCCGCTTCTTATTCAGTTTGTTTAGCTACAGGATTATTACTCGTTCTAGGTCATATTCCTATTCCTAACTCTAATGAAGGAAATACAGATTCTAGCTTTTCAGGTTCTTCTTCTCCAATGAATTTAATTAATCGTTGGGCATTTCAAGCCGAAAAAGTTATTCATGGTACTCCCTCAGGAATTGACAATGCAGTTTCTACTTATGGTAAATATTATATTTCTTTTATTCTTGTTTAAAAGCATTATACTAAAATGTTTTTTTTATTATTATTATTAAAGGTGGTGCTGTATCATTTACAAAAGGTGAAATGGAAAATGTGATAGGGTAAGGAATTTATCATCTTTGAATTATAATCAAGTGTTTTATTTTATTCGATTTCATTTTGCAAAAATATGACTAGATTTTTTCTGTAAGATTTCAATTACTTCGATTCCTATTAACAAGTACAAAAGTACCTCGAGATACTCGCGCTCAAGTTGCTAAAGTACGCGTGTTGTATGATAAAGTATGTTTTAATTATTTTGGGGGATTTTTTTTTGAGAAATTTTGTTCATTGCTGAATTATTTTTATAAATTTTTAGTATCCACATATTGTTGATCCCATATTCGAAGCTATTGAAGGCATTAGCCTCTCATTTAATGAAATAGTTAATAGCGGAGGTAAAAAAAAAAAAAAAAAAGAATCGATCACATTAAACTGCATTAATAATTTTCTTTAAAATTACTAAATGATTATATTACCCTACTTATATAGCTTCTCAAAGTGAATTAAATAAAAAATTCGAGGTAATTTTTTTTTTTTTAAAAAAAAAAAAAATTATGTATTTATTTGATAAATGCATTTTAACTTTTTATCGTAGGAACTTATTGATTTAAATCATTATTTATTAAATTCCTTGGGAGTGGGACATTCATCTATTGATCGAGTAAGAGAAATTACCGCACAACATTCATTACATTCAAAACTTACTGGAGCTGGAGGTGGAGGTTGTGTATTAACTTTACTTAGAGATGGTAAATATTTATAATAGATTCCTTTGTTAGTTTAATGCGAACTTAATAATAATACATACTTTATTAACTTTATATTAATAGATGTTACAAGTGATGAAATAACTAAAGTCAAATCGGCTTTAGCAACATTAGGATTTGAATGTTTTGAGACGCAAGTTGGAGGAAATGGAGTTAGCGTGATTGATTCTTCAGTAACGATAAGTAAACAAGAATTTTTATCATCCGAAAATGTACAACAACACTTTTCTGGTTGGAAACATTTCACCTAAATTAAAAAAAAATAAAAGGTATTTTTAATATATTTTGTTATATAATAATGTAATAACAATTTATTTCTTCAAAATAATACATCAATAGAATTTTTTTTATTCCTTAAATTACAAAGTAACAGCATATAAAAAGAAAATACATGATGGTTATTTTGTTGCTCTATATAAGAATAATAAAACTGTTCAAATTGGCAACGAAATAATATATATATTATATAAAGAAAAAAAGAAATTATACACGCAAAATGAAATGAGTAGTAGTAATAAAATATGAAAAAAAAAATATAAAACGAAAAAAAAAAAAAAATTTAATGTTCCATCCTCTTTTATCTTGTTTCTCCGGGAAACCTTTTAAAAATCAGGTTCTGTTCACATCTTTCCAAAATTATAAATGTAATATAAAACCAAATTTTGCTCCGAGTAAATATTAATTTCTTTGACAAAAATAAAAATAAAAATAATAATAATAATAATAATGGAGTCATTTAAATTAAAAAAATTTTTTTTTTAATTATAATGTTAATTATTATTATTTTTGTCAAATATATTATAATTCCCTTCACTATGCTACTAAAGAAATCCAATTAGATATCTCCTTATGATATTTGAAGACCTTATATATTATATATATATCATATTCGACTAAAAAACGCGCCCCCATTCCCCAAAAATCAACAATAATTCTATCGCGACGGAGCCTCAAGTTCTGGTAATTCTTGAATTTGTTTCAATAAAAATGCCTTTTCATCATTGAATTGTTCATCATCTAATTTATTTTTTTCATTTACACATCAAAAAGATATCAGTATAATTTTTTTTTAAAACAAAAGATCATTTGGTTTTAACATAATAATAACAACAAACCGTGGCGATCATTGTGAAAATTTCCTAAAAATTGAATCAACTTTTCCCGGTTCTTGCCCAAAATAACCGAGATAGGCTTGGTTTTGTTTGGATTCGCCACAAATATCTAAAATAGATTCTCTTCAGATCAACGTAATAAATATTTCACGATTGTTTATTATAAGTTCGTACCTTAAACACATGAAAAGCTTCGAATTGAATATTACGGCTCCTATCCCTTAATAAATTCATCATAAGTTTCAAATTTTCTGAACTCGCGATATATCGAGTCATCACATTGAAATTACAACGATCCAGTAAAATTTCTCCAAGAAGCTATAAATTTAAATATTATCAATATTGTATTTGTCTAGTTAATTTAAATGAATATACAACTCACTTTAAGGGATTGTCGCTTAGTCACATAATTATTTGAATTCAACAATTTGGTATAAGATTCGAAAAACTTTTTTTAAAAAAAAACAAAGCATTAGTTAGTATAACGTAAAAATAAAATACAAGTGAGTGATTAATTTTATTAATACCGGTTCATAATTAACATCCAAAAACTCGGCTACCAAAGTCTTGTGACGTGTCAATATCTCCTTTTGAAATAAAAGGTGAACAGTTTCAATTTGATGTCATGAATATTCATTCATAAACGAATACACATAATAATTCTCAAACCTTGAACGTGGCGAAAGCATCGCTAGCAATATCAAATGTACTCATTTCTACATAAGTAAAGAAATCGTAAAATTGTGGAGAATACAATATAATTTTGGTCAAGGATTCATGTCGAAGACATTCTCGTAGAATCATTCCGCAGTTAAGAGCTATGTCGGGATTCTCATAACTGTAGCTTAGTAAAAAAGTGATAAGGGAATATAAGTATCACATCATAACCAATTATATAAAAATCAATTGATGCATACCCTTTGAGTAATGTAAATAGTATTTCTTCTCTATTTGTTAAATAATCGACAGTTGGAGTCAATGAACCTATTTGTCTTCTTAGAAGGTTATTGAAAATCAACGACACGTCTTTCTTTGCCTATTATAATGATTAGTAAAGACCTTTTTATTAGGTAAGAGGACTGTAACACTATCTAAACCATAAGTGACGGATTACCTCAAACTCGAATCTCCAAATATTTAACACTAATAATTGCAAAATATCATTATTATAAACTTCTTGTGCCAATTGCGCGACCGTTTCTTGCACAGGATCACTGTCTAAAACATAATTAAATTTAATAGTTAAATAGAGATCAACGATGAATTTAATGTAATTTTAATCATATCAAAAGTTCTAACCTCCATCACCGTAGAGGATGGTTTTCATAGTTGTTAAGTTCTTCGATATGTCTTCGCTTGCCTACGAAATGACATTTGGTGAGGACCTTTCTTCTTTATCTTTATCACTATACAGGTTTGTTGAGAGGTCAGGAACAACTCTTCTCAGAGTCAAATAGTATATATACATAAACTGCCCAAAGAAGTTCGTTTGAAAGTACTTTTTATAGACTCAGAGTTTCCTTTTCCCAAAACAAGCTGCAACCTTTTATCCCAAAAAAACACAGTTAATTCGGTTCAACCAACCTTCTTTTTGTCTAAGCCATCCAACTTATGAATGGCGTCTTTAAGAATTTTCACCAACTCGTGTGGTGTTTTTTGCTTCGACTTGAATAAAAAACTCATACTGTATATTTAGCTTTGTATGGAAGAACAAAGTTTTTGGAAATGGGGGCGACGTTATTTCAAATTTCAAAAGGGCAGAAGGGGGGAAATATATCTTTCGAAGGTCTTCAATCGGAGCTTTACCCCGTTGATGCCCCGTAATTTTTTTTTTTTTTTTTTTTTTTTTGATTTTAGATTGACCTGACCGTGTGGGTTTGACCTTTATCAAACTCCGTTGTGCTACCTATTTCTGACACTTAAATGCAGATTTTTAAATAAAATTAAAAATCGAGAATAGTAAGTACTTTGACGACGTGTCCGAGTGGTTAAGGAGTGTGACTAGAAATCACATGGGCTTTGCCCGCACAGGTTCAAGTCCTGTCGTCGTCGCATCGAAATCCTTTTTTTTACTCGTCAACTAAATAATTTTTATTAATTTTGCGCTCGAAAATTTTAATGAATCATGTCGCCGTACTGCCCGTTGCCGTCAAATTCGATATATCAGTATGTGCAGTATGTACTGCGGCGAAATATCATATCACTGATATTCGCGTCAAAAAATAAATCAATGTTAAAAATAAATCAATGTTTGATGATAAATTTATCAAGTCAGGAGTCAAATGATAGACAAGCATTATATGAGTTTATTGGCCACACAAAAACCTCCACGTAAATCCGTGATAATTTTTTTAAAAAAAACCAATCCTTGATCCAAAAATAGGTAAAGTTTTGACCTTGTAGAATCCTTCCGAGAAATGAATTTTGAAGAAATCGAAGAGCAGGACGGGACTCGCTTCTCCTGGAATGTGTTCCCAGCTTCTCGCCTGGATGCTACAAGAACAGTGGTTCCTATATCATGTCTATATACCCCACTCAAAGAGAGAGAGGACCTTCCACCAATCTATTATGAGCCTGTAACTTGTAAGGCTCCTTGTCGTGCAATTTTGAACCCTTACTGGTAAATAGTTTTTTTGCTCATCGGTCCCTTTCTAAGCTTATCCTATGTTTGTTACAAATATATGGCTGTGCGCGTATTTTGCTTCAAAGTAATTTTTTTTTTTGAAAAAAAAAAATAGTCAAATTGATGTTCGCGGAAAACTCTGGATCTGTCCTTTTTGCCTTCAAAGAAATGCTTTCCCCCCTCATTATAAAGATATCTCCAATACTAATCTTCCTGCCGAATTGTTACCTAAATTTACTACAATTGAATACACTCTTGCTCGTGCTGCTCAAGTTCCTCCAATTTTTTTGTTTGTGGTAGATACTTGCTTAGAAGATGATGATTTGAAAGCATTGAAAGATTCTCTAGTCGTCAGTCTGAGTTTGTTGCCTTCCAGTGCATTAGTTGGCTTGATCACGTATGGCACTATGGTAAATTAATTTTCATTCAAGAAATCTTAATATCTGTTTTACTGTATATGTAAGCTTACGTGAATTGTTTTAACTTTAGGCCCAAGTTCATGAGCTTGGTTATAGCGAATGTCCAAAATCATATGTTTTTCGTGGGACTAAAGAATATTCATCCAAACAAATCCAAGAAATGCTCGGTTTATCAGGAGTTGGAATACGTCAATCATTGCAAAGACCAGGTCCATCAGGTGTTCCTCAAAGTGCTAGCCGGTATGTAGTGAATATATATTTTTTTAAAAAAAGAAGAAAATATTTTATATACAGCCGATGATTAATTATGTGAATTTCAACAGATTTCTTTTGCCGGTTGAGCAATGTGATTTCCAGTTAACATCTATTTTAGAGCAACTTCAACGTGACCCTTGGCCAGTTGCTAACGATAAACGTTCACAAAGATGTACCGGTGTGGCAATGAGTGTGGCGATTGGTTTAATGGAGGTTTGTGATTTTAATAAATACAAGTTTAATTGTGATAATCAATGCATTTTAAACTTATTTATTATTATATAGACCACATTTTCAGGTACTGGGGCACGTATTATGCTGTTCTGTGGCGGTGCTGCTACAGAAGGTCCTGGCATGGTTGTTGGTTATGAATTGAAAGAACCAATTCGATCTCACCACGATATCGAGAAGGACAATATAAAATACTATAAAAAATCAACAAAGGCACGTTTTTTTATATTTTGAACATTGCTTAAAATTAAAGGTTAAGGATCTTCCGAACACTTTATGTGAAGTAATATAAAGTCTAGGTTTATCAATTAACGCAATAATATATATGTATCGATTTATTTATGCAGTTCTATGATGCTTTGGCAAAACGTGCGTCAACAAACGGGCATATTGTTGATATCTTTGCTGGATGCCTCGATCAAGTTGGATTGCTTGAGATGAAATCAATGGTGAATTCTACTGGAGGTTTTATGATCCTTTCAGATTCTTTCACAACAGCTATTTTCAAACAAAGTTTCCAAAGAGTATTCAATAAAGATACTCAAGGCAACTTACAAATGGGATTCAATGCAACTTTGGATGTACAAGTATGGATATTTTTAAAAGATTTGATTTCACTAGGAAAAATAAAGTTCATACAATTCTAAAAATTTTTTAAATTTTAAAATGTAGACTACACGAGAAATGCGAGTATGTGGTTTAATTGGTCATGCTATTTCTGCAAATAAAAAGAGCGCATCAGTCGCTGAGACAGAAATCGGTATTGCCAATACTTCGGCGTGGAAGATGTGCGGAATAACCCCAAAGTCAACTGCGGCGATATATTTTGAAGTGGTTAGTCAACATGGACAACCTCTTCAACCTGGTTCGCGTGGGTTGATTCAATTTTTGACTCATTACCAACATTCCAGTGGACAATTCCGTTTGCGTGTTACAACAGTTGCCAGGAACTTTGCTGAAGGAAATAGTCCACAAATTGCTCAATCTTTTGATCAAGAAGCTGCTGCTGTTCTTATGGCACGTATTGCGGTATTCAAGGCAGAAATTGATGATGGTCCGGACGTATTAAGATGGTTGGATCGTATGTTAATTCGCCTGTGTCAGAAATTTGCCGATTATAGAAAGGATGATCCTTCATCGTTTCGTCTTGCAGAAAACTTTTCTATATATCCACAATTCATGTTTCATCTTAGGAGAAGTCAATTTTTGCAGGTTTTCAATAATAGTCCTGATGAAACAGCATTTTATCGGTATTTATTTTTCGTAATTTAATCGATTTGGGATTAGATCATAAATATTCACATTAAAAATTTTCTTTATATTTTAGCCATGTTTTGAATCGGGAAGATGTGAACAATTCACTGATTATGATTCAGCCTACACTTATGTCTTATGGTTTCGATCAACCACCACAACCAGTACTCTTGGATTCTATTTCTATAAAGCCCGATGTCATTTTACTACTTGATACATTTTTCCATATTCTTATTTTCCATGGGGAGACAATTGCTCAATGGAGGAAGGCGGGATATCAGGATCAAGAAGGTTATGAAAATTTCAAAGAGTTATTAGAATTACCAAAGAATGATTCAGAGGTGAATGTTTGAAAAATTCACGTTTAATTCAATATTGATAAATTCCTGATTTTTAATACGATTAATTATGTTATGTTGTAGGAACTTTTGGCGGATCGGTTCCCTATTCCTCGTTACATTGTTTGTGATCAACATGGTTCTCAAGCACGTTTCTTACTTTCCAAATTAAATCCTTCCACTACACACGTTTCTGGAGGCATGTATGGAGCTCCGCAAGGACAAGCTATCTTTACTGATGACGTTAGTCTGCAGGTGTTTATGGAACATTTGAAGAAGTATGTTCAAACTTAAAATTACTTTTCCTGATCTCTTTTCATATGATTTTTTGCTGATGATCATTTGAAATCTTATTTATTAGATTGGCAGTAAGCGGATCCTCATAAAATTATTTATTTTAACAATAAATATATTTCAAGATTTTTAGAGTAGAGAAATAATTCGACTGTCTAATGTATATTTAATATAGAAAATGTAAAAGTTTCTGATAAAATAATAATTAAAATTTTTTATTACGGTTATTTATATCTTTTACGGGTAATACTGGAAAAAATATTTTTTTTTTTTTGTATATATATTAATAAATAATTAATGAATGTTTGTGTTACAAAAAATTTTCGTGTTTCCGTGTAACTACATTTTATAAAACCACAAAAAATGAACAGATCAATCTTTTCAAATCCTCTTTTTGCATATTATATATATTTATTTTTTTCTTACATATAAAAGAAAACACGATGGCTATCGCTCCAATTACCGGTAAAATTCGCAAAATACTTATTACCGATGTAGTAATTTCATTTGCACTTGGCATTGGTGGTGGATATGCTTATTGGTATGGACTTCATGTTCCTATGGTTCAACAAAGAGATGCTTTTTATGCTAAACTTGCAAGAGAGAAACAACAAAAATGATATTTTATTAATGGTTTCTAAAAAAAAAAAAAAAGAGTAGTAAGTTTAATAATCAAGTCCTCTCCTCTTTGAGAAAAATACTTTTTACCCGGTTTAAATTTTATTATTTTGGTTTATTTAGATCGAAAAACTTGGATTCCTTTTCATTTTTGTTTTATTCTATAAAAAAAATTTTTTTTTAAAAAAGGAAAAAAAAGTTTCTCATTTAAAATACAAAGAATTTATTTTGACAAATATAAGTTATGTTTTATACAGGAATAAAGTATAAAATACAAATGAATAATTTTTTCTATTCCCCAAATAAATTTTTTTTTTTTGTTAATTTGATTAAATTATTAGTATAAATCAAAATTTCAATTCAATTTATAATATTAAAAATTGGTATTTGATATAATAAATGCAAAAAAAAAAGAAGAAAAAAGACAGACAATGATTTTATAGAATGAATGAGTTATTATGTAAAAAAAATTTAATAACAGAATTGAATTAGTTAATAAATAACTGAAAATAATTATAAATGATAATGTATCTATGCAAAATGTCCAATAAAACCAATTTCCAATACGAGAATAAACTGCAAAATCATAGAATTATTCAACATTCCTCTGATTATTGAGAAGCAATAAATTTACCGCTAGAAACTTGACATGATATCTCCTGAAATTTAAAAACACTTTCAAACTTCCCAGGATTATTGCTATTTTCTTGCTCCTGTACACCAATTCCATTTGATACAGAAGGTACAATATCTATCGAAATATTACTCAACAATTGTCCTTTACATAAAAACCTAACCGCAGCAGGTGCTGGATTAGATGCTTTTCCAGTTTCAAAACGTGCTAAAATTCTTTTTCGTTCGGGAGGTGTAGACAGATCTACATCATCAACCTGCCAATAAATCCTCTGTTTTTCCATACTCCATACTCCAGTGGGTTTAGATTGTACTGTTCCAACTTCTCCATCTACAGGAACTATGAAGGAAAGTTCTGAAAGATTTCCTTTAAGTTTGCATTCGGGATTCACCTGATATGAAACAGCTAATGACGTTAAATTTGATTCACATTTCCAATGTGGAATCACTTGAAGCGGTACATATATATTTTTGCTTTCCGGATCTATGTGCACTTGATATTTCATTACAACAACCGAAGTTCCTCCTGCCAAAGATAATAAGCATGTATCAATATCATATAGTCCTACAAGGCCTGGTGCGGGACGAAGATATGATGTGTTTGGTGCAGATTTTTCCAATGTTTCAAAATTATCGATTCTAATCCTGACCGAATGTGAATGATCTCGTACTGTTGGAAAATTATATTGTAAACTTATTTCACCCGTTACAAGTATTTTTGTAACCTCACCACTTTTGGACATTATGTTTACAGTTTCAAAAATTGAAGCTCGTAATCCACGCGGTTTAGTTTCAGAGTCGGAAGCAGCTCTTGGATGATTTGCGGACTCCAGGAATTCGTATGAAGTTGGGGACGAACTAATTAAGCTGTTTGCCCTATCAGAAAATGAAGGGGAAGGCGAAACATTGTTTGTGTCAACATATATACTGTCTGCATTATTCAATATAGTATTTCGCCATTGACTAAATAAGAATATATAATATTAATATTAAAGTAAAAGATATATAAAATGAATTGAATTAAAACGTACTCTCTTCGACCACGAAGCGTGCTTTTTTTCGCAGTAGGTGTCTATGTGAAGATATGATTTATTATAAATATTCTTAAATTATTATAATTTGTGTTTAATAATAAATACTTCCTTACCGACTTGAGATGTGTCATAACAAGTGACATGGCAGCCGCAGCTTCTTCCTCATTTATTGGAACAACCGTCGGCTTAATCTCAACACGCATTTTCTCCTGATTCCATGAACTATATCATAACGTATTAATATATTAATTAAATAATTAGAATTACTAATTAAAAACAAAAACGTACTTAGCAGTTTCTGATCGTGAATCTGAATCATTTTCTTCGTTTGAGGAAGAAACGTTGTCCCACTTGGATTCAGTGGGAGGTATTGAATAACCTTCGGAGTCTACAACTACTTTAGGCTATGAATAAAAGTTCACAATCACCATCCATCGCATTTGACAAGATAAAAAACATATTTGAATGACATATTTACCACTGCAGCTTCATGATGATCGTTGTTGACTGAAATAGCTGAAGGGCTCCTCAAACCATCACTATGAGAATCAATATTTTCCATTCTATGCTGAGAAGAAACGTCCCTTTAAATAACATACACATACACAATACTAATGGTTAATTCTACAATTCGTAATTTTTTTTTTTTTTAAAAAAAAGTAAATTAGAGATTAGACATACAAATGATTTTGTGAAGTTACTCTTTTACGCCTAATAGAAAAGGCATATTTTACTGCAAAGATGTAAATTAATTAAGTTAATAACAGAATATATAAATAAATAAACATTCTTTGATTTACGGTACCTGGTGATGATGATGATGATTCCTCTATAGTCCCACCTACAAGCGACATTATAGAAAATGTAAAGTATTTTATTTTAGAATCGAGAGTCCACACATCAAAATTCTTTATTTAAGAAGGAAAAAAAAACCTTCATTAATCTGTCCTTTCTTGGAACAAAAATCTTTGATTTCGCCTTGGACATCATAATCTACAACTGTTCCCAATGTTTTTCCAGCAATCTAATGATAAAAACAACCATGTTAACAAAGAAATGAGTAGATTTAATATAACGAACCCTACTTTACCTCAACACGTTTTTGATATGTGTCTGCTTGTATAGTTTCAAAGCGCGCTATAGTCTCTTTCAAATTCTCCCAACGCGTTAAATCAACAGCTTGGGTTTTCTACATAAGATTAAAGATATAACCCTTTATTATACATTAAGATGATATACTCTCTTAAATATTTTAATTTAACGAACCTCAAGATATGTTGACCAATTATTTTGCCATTCAACTTTAGATTCTTCTAAAGCCTTTTGCGCTTCAATGAGTTTACTTTCTTTAACATAAGTGATGAAATAAATGAATGTTGGAAAATTTTTTCATTTTTTTATATATATACATAACATGTATGACATACTCAATAATAATCAAATACCTTACCAATTGCATCTGCCTTTTTGCCGACTTTACTTTTGCTCCTGTGCTATAATTGACGGATAACAATACATGAATAGATAAAAAAGAAAAGAAAATCTAAAGAAATCACAAATACCTTGTTAAATTTTTGTAGTTTTTCTTCATATTCGCGTGATAATTTACCGAGATTAGTCTCATGCTAAAAAATTAAGTTAAAATGAGTTTTGTTGACTAAATAGAATAAATATTAAAGTAATTCATGAGAATTAAAAACAAGTCGTTACAGGTTTTAATTGTGACCATTCTGGGTCAGAAGTTGCTTTTTCACGTAATGGACCTTCTACTTCCTCATATATTTTTGAAATTAAATAAGTATGGATTTTGATTATTTCGTTGAGTTCGTTGAAAAGAGTATCCCATACATTTACAAAGGTACTGGATAGAAACAATTAATAAGTATAGAATATTAATTAAAGTCAAAAATAAATAATTACGTACCCCAAGCTATTTCTATCCGCAATAAATGCTTTGGCTGCTAATCGTTGAAGACCTCTAACATAATCGTCTTCGACTCTGACTCTAACAATGCATAAGTTCATAAAAATTAGTAAATAAACTTGTAACATAATCGTAAGGACAAAAATAATACGTTACCTATCTAGAAAGTAATTTGCAATTTCCTGATTTAATGTTTTGGCTTTCTTCAGCCTTAATTGTACGCAATCGAAAGCCTTTTTCGGATTGTCATTCTGTTTTATTACACAAATTACCATTAAAAATATATTAATAAAGAAGTTTTCTTAATTCAATTGAACAGAACTCACCAGAAAAGCTTGTAAGTACGGCATCGTAGCTGGTATTGGCAAGGTTTCTTGAAGACTTGTCAAATCTAAAGGCGTCTGACCCATTACACTTTATCGAGTAATCAAAAGAAGGAAAAGATAAACATCAAAAAACCAAGTTATCTAGAGAATTTCCTAAATAAGTTCGGTTTCATTGGTTATAGTTAACCGTTAATTTTGTGTTCCAATTAAAAAAAAATTCTATCGATTCTAATTCTTTAGGAATTGAACCAATTAATTTTTTTTTTTTTTAAAAAAAAAAAAGGAAAAATAAAAAATAAATTAAAAGAAAATAACTCAAGAAAATCGGAGTTTGAAATATTTTTTTATAATTTTATGAAAATGAAAATTATACATTGATCTAAATTGATAGTTATTTTTTCTAATGAACTCAAATCTTATATATTGTGCGATTTAAATCACGAACCTGTCAAGATTTAATGATTATTTCAACACTTATTTATAACAAATTGTTCACAGAACATCATTTACTTTTGGTATACCAATTTTCATTGAGAATTTCTATTTGAATTCCTTGGTCGCATGGGAGCTAATGCTCTTACATCAGCGAACTTTGCCTGACCTTCCAAAACCATTTCTGCAATTACCCGACCTGTACCCGAAGAATTTAAAATTCCCCAAACAGAATGTCCAGTTGCAAGGTAAACTCCATCCAGCCAAGGAACTTTGCCAATTAAAGGTTTATCATCATCAGATATAGGCATATAACAACATGATTCTTTAATGATAGGTGCAACACCCAAGATTTCGGGAGAAAGAGTATTTATGTTGTTTTTAAGGTTCTTAATCGCAGTAGGATTTGGAACATATTGATCAGCATCAGGAGGAAGCGGCGATTCGTCACATTCACCAGAAACGTAAACTTCCCCATCCGGACGAGGATAAATTTCAGGTTCTGCAAATTTACGACCAAGATTAAGCGATACAAAACAAACATGTGCTGATATCGGTACCGAAGGTCTTATTACGATACTATGAGCTCTTTGACCAGAAACATCCGGAAGCTGATAAGCACGTCCACTTTTTTTAACAAGCCATGAAAGAGCTTCTCCACTCCAAGGGCCCATTGCTATAATAATTGTGTCAACAGGCATAACTTCATCTGTAGAAAGTCTTACACCCGATACTTTATATGAATCAAATTCTAACCCTTCAACGCGTGCAATTTTAACTTGAGCTCCTCTAGATTCAGCTTCCTCTATTAATGTTTTAGTGAATTTATATGGGTGTAGTTGAGCTGTTGTTTTAGTTGAACCGATCTGTTTATATTTTGTAATTACACCAGTCTTTAACCAATTCGTTGGAGGTGCTTTAACGCTTACAGCTTTCATCGAAGCCGTTACTGATAAGGTATCGACAACTCGATAATCATATCTTTTTTTACCATTTAAGGTTTTGGCAAGTTCGGCGTGTAACTTGAAGCTTTTGCGAGCGAGATCTTGAAGAGGACCTCCGTCACACCAGTCATAAGACAAGAAACCACTTTAGAAAATATCAAGAAGTGAAAATTAGAACCATTTTATAAACACAGCATAATTCAGAAAACCAACTCAATCCATTCCGAAAACTATAATAAAAAAAAAGCCCAACAAATACTTGTACTGTACCCTGCTCTACCAGAAGCGGCACAGGCAATGGCGGTTTGTTCTATGACTGTTACTTTTAAATTCGGATCTTTGTTGAGTAAAGTGATTTGATATGCGATAGAAGAACCAATGACACCACCTCCAAGAATAGCTATATGACGGCATCCAATCTCTGTCATTTTTTATTACAGTTAAGAAAGGAGTGAGTAACTGAAAGCTAAAACATTAAATAAAAACTATAAAGAATGAGAAAAACTTTAGAAAACGCTCTGTCTGCCAATGGCGCAACAACGTATTATACTCGCGTAAAATAAAAAAAAGGAAAGAATATATATATATATATATATATAATATTTATCTAACACGAATATATTAGAGGGATGCTTTCAAAAAAAAAAAAAAAAGTTTTGATAATCGATTCGATTTGAGACAATAGGGAGAAAGATTGTCAATGTTGGAATTGTTATTGGTTGTGAGGTATAATATTTAAATAGGAGCGTAAATTCGATAAAGGGTTAGGGAAGTGTAGAAGTCCGTTTATTGAAAAAAAGACGAAACGGAAAGTTTAAACAACGCGCTTCGAATCTTAAAAAGATCTGCACATCTCGATAAGGTGATCCGATCTTAAATATCATATGGGGCAAGGGGGGAAACTGCCGGCAGTTTCCCCTTTCTATTGCAAAGGCCCCATATGATCTATTAACAAAAATGTAATATAATTCGCTAATAATGAAAAAAATAAAGCCATTTTTCAACAAAACTTTCAATGTTAGCCAGAACTTTGTGATAATGATGGGTAAATAAAAATTCACGCATTTCATTTGCATTCGATCAATTATATCCTTGGATTGATGTGCGAAAATTGGTTTTCTATTGGTACTAAATTTACACGATACTTCTAAAAATAACACGTTTTTACTTAAACAAGAAGGGCTTCTATGATTTTTACAATAACGGAATATAATATCATATATAATTAAAGTTCTTTTATCATTCAGTACTGGATCAGCGAAAGAATCAGTTGACGCATTTTAATTTCGAACTTTAGCTCTTCAACAATTGTGATTTCAAAAATGTCAAATATGGCTATAGAAATACAGCCATTCTTTGGTTCGGTTGTGCGTTTAAAGTACTTTATAAATTTCATAAACAAATATTAAAAAATAATAACAAGCTTCACCAAAATGTTTGTTTAAAATCTATAAATCTATTAGATTTCTGTTAATTTCATGTTTTTGACGCTTTGGAATGTCAAATTAAGATCGCCGCCGGTCCGAGATCGGATGGATCGGATCATTAACATACTTAGATAAGACTGCGGTGAGGAGGACAGCTGGTAATTGGTTAAATTGGTTATCTTCTGTGTAATGTGTGAAAATCGGAACTGAACACAAATACAAAATATTGAATAATGATCCATTAACATCTCAGCCCTGATAAACCATTTTTTCTTTTTTTCTTGGCAAAGGGTTGACAAGGATATCTAATTTGAGGCTTGACAAAAAGACTTCCCGTTGTGTTGATTAATTAGGCTAATTCTGTTTGTGCACATTCTGTTTTGGTAGTTTGGTGTAAGTCACTGCGCCGATGATTTAATGATTTGTGACTTTACAAATTGTCATACGCATGACAATTGGATAAAATTCCAAGATCCGGAAAAGATTATCCCACTTCATTCACTAGCCGCGTCTAAAAGGGGTCGACACCACATACTTAAACAACCCACCACCCCATAGAATCACTTTCGACCAAAAAAAAAAAAAAATTTTTTTTTGTTTAATTTCAAGCCTTCAATAACCCATTCTTCTTTTGCTATTCTTTAACATCTTAGGTTTACAGATATCGTAATGGTAAGTCTTCAAGATATGTTTAAAGAATAAAAAAGCCGCGTTTACACGAAAATAAGTTAACTTGGCTTTATAACAAAGTCTTTCCAATAATCGTCCATTATAAATTATGAATGGTCTTTGGTTGTAAAATACTTTCTTTTAAAAAGAAAAAAAGGTTAAAAAAAAGTAAAGAATAATAATAATAATAATTCTCAACCACACTCAAAATTTAAATATATAGGCTGACCAACTTTCTGAAGAACAAATTGCAGAATTCAAGGAAGCCTTTTCTCTATTTGATAAAGATAATGACGGTACTATTACCACTAAAGAACTCGGTACGGTTATGAGGTCTCTTGGTCAAAATCCTACTGAAGCAGAGTTGCAGGATATGATCAACGAAGTTGATGCCGATGGTAATGGCACAATTGACTTTCCTGAATTCTTGACCATGATGGCCCGCAAGATGAAGGATACTGATTCTGAAGAAGAGATTAAAGAGGCCTTCAAAGTTTTCGATAAAGACGGTAACGGTTTCATTTCTGCTGCTGAATTAAGACATGTCATGACAAACCTCGGTGAGAAACTTACTGACGAAGAAGTTGACGAAATGGTAAGTTATATATTTATATCAATTTTACTTATCGCATCACTAACTAATTACATGTAATCTATAATCTGTTCTTTGTAATAGATTCGTGAAGCTGATGTTGACGGTGACGGTCAAATTAATTATGAAGAATTTGTCAAGATGATGATGACCAAGTAGTTTTTTTTTAAACAAGATAATGCAAACTTTTAATAATATACAACTCGGGTGGATATCAATAATGTGCAATCTCTGACTATTTCTTTTTATTTTTTTATTTTTTTATTCTTATGTATTTGATTTATTTATTTTTTTATCACAATATAATTTCTAAAAAAAAAAAAAATTAATTTGTTTAATACGCGTGTCACTAGTTTTTAATTCTGTTGCTTCCAAAGGGATTAAGTTCTTTTTATTTTCCTATTCTTTTCTATTTGACAAATAGTGTATCTTACCGTAACATATTTCCATAATATTTCATAAAACCAAATTAAATTAGAGGGAGATGATCGAGTAAATATATTTCCCAATCAACAATAGGACGAAAATCAAACGATTAACGAGTTCAAAAGGGGTGAATGGTTTTTCCTTTTGTAATTATCAAGCTTATTCCTTTTCCTTTCTCTTTTGATAATGTTGAATCACTTTGGATAAAATTATAGTTCAAAACTTTTTTTCCTTAGTCCTAATTATTAACTAATGTATACATTATTAATATTAAATAAATAAATATTTATTTATTCATTTTACTTAATTACATTGTATAGCATACATGATCTTTGATTCAAATGTCACCGACGATCTAACATTTAACAATGTTTCAGCCACGATCACAAATTTGCAAGAACAGTTTTCTGTTAAGCCTCTTTACCAACGAAAAAGTATAACCTAGATGTGACAAATAATCCATGACCCAATTTAGTCATGTGAAAATCTGTGAAAGATGGTTTTGGGTTTCGTAATTTCAAACCTAATAAAATCGATACGTCGTGTATGCTAAATTATTTGATCTCATTGAAACTGTTAATAATTCGTGCTGCGCCACTTTAATAATTTAATTGGTTCTCGTCTTATTAAACATGCTCTACATATACAGTTTATATAAATATAATATTATAAATATTTTCTTCCTCCTCGAAAAAAATTGCTACTAATTTCATCTATATACCTCTAGCTTTTCTTTTATATTTGCTTAAAAAAAAAAAACAACACAATAGAATGAGTGCGCAACCAACTTCACGTGAGCCATATTATGAGGAACGTCGCGCATCTCCTGCACTACAACGTTATCACGAGCAAGCTTATAGTGAATATGGTCCACCATTGCAATCTAAATCGGACCCCTCAGTTGACCAAGCTATTTTAAGCATGAATAATTTAAGAATTGATGATAATAACCAAGTTACAAAACTCTCCAATTCAACGCAAATCACGAATCCCAATTTACTTCATGCAAAAAATCCACAAGCAACAATTTCTCAAAGAGCACCGTCTCCTCGTTCTCGTCCTCGTCCGAATCAAGCAACGCCATTACCGCCACCACCTCCACTAAAACAACAAAAAAATGAACCCGAGTATCAACCTCCAATACCACAAGATGAATATCAAACATATAATTATCAGGATGGTTATAATGAGTATCCTCAAGGTTTGCAACCTCCTCTAAATCAAGTAAATCAAGATGATCAAGTTCTTCCAATTCCTCCACAAGAATCTTATTATAATAATGAACATTATGAAAATAATGATCCTAGAGGATATTATCCGCCTGGACAAAATTATGATCCCGCAATGGGATATGCCGAGGATCAAGCTTATGTGTATTCTCAAGAACAATATGGTTATGAACAAGCCAATTATGATTATCAAGGATACGCTTCTTATCAAGCTTACCCTGTAAGCGAAGGATATTATGGTGAACAACAATATTATCCGGATTCATATTATGATCCAAACTACGATCCAAACTACGATCCAAATTATGATCCAAATTATGATCCAAATTATCCACCTCAAGGGTATCCGCCGGAAGGGTATCCAGTAGTTGATGAATATGGTCAACCAATATTTTATGATCAACAACAACAAATGGATCAATATAATGTAACATATGAAGATAATTCAAGCATTATAACATCACAACCAAAGGGTACTGTTAAGATGGAGGATCAACCTGTATATACTCTTGAAGCCATAGAAAAATATCGTAAACAATCTAAAGAAAATGGAGATCCCGCTTCATTATTAGGTTTCGCTAAATATTTGATTGAAGCTGCCGCAGTCACAAATAAGGATGATCCCGATCCGAAAAATGCTAAAAAGAAAAAAGATGCGTTACTTCAAGAAGCTGTTAAGCTGATTAAACGGCTGGCAACGCAAGGAATGGGATTTGGTCGTCCTGCATATCCAGAAGCTCAATTTTATCTTGCAAATTGTTACGGGAATGGTTCGCTAGGATTACCTCCGGATCATGATAAAGCTTTTAATTTATATATGCAAGCATCAAAACAAAATCATGCTGCTGCTACTTATCGTACAGCCGTGTGTTACGAAGTTGGTGCTGGAACAAAACGTGACCCACAACGAGCTACTCAATTCTTTAAAAAGGCCGCTGCTTTAGGTGATACAGCTGCCATGTATAAGCTTGGCATGGTAATGTTAAATGGTTTATTATCTCAAAATCCGAATCCTCGCGAAGCTATTATATGGCTTAAACGAGCGGCCGCACATGCAGACGAGGAGAATCCACATTCATTACATGAGTTGGGTTTATTACATGCAAAGCCCGAAAAAGAGCCACCAGAAATTCCTTCTTTAATTAGAAGTGAAAAACATGCTGTAGAAGAATTTAAAAAAGCTGCGGATCTTGGTTATTCACCTTCTTGTTTTAAGTTAGGTTGTTGTTTTGAATACGGACAATTGGGATGTCCCGTTGACCCACGACAATCAATTAGATATTATTCCCGTGCTGCTGAAAAAGGAAATACAGAAGCAGAATTGGCATTATCCGGTTGGTATTTAACAGGGTCGGATGGTATACTGAAACAATCCGACACGGAGGCGTATTTATGGGCGCGTAAGGCTGCTGATAAAGGGCTCGCAAAGGCAGAATACGCAATTGGGTATTATTCTGAAGTAGGAATCGGTGTTAAATTAGATGTTGAAGAAGCAAGACGTTGGTATATGAGAGCTGCAGGTAATATTTATAAACAAATTATTGGTAATTCCCTCTCTTTTTTCTATGAATTTCATATTAAAATTTTTTATTGGACATTACTAATAGCTCAAGGAAATAAAAGAGCAATGCAACGTCTTACAGAGTTAAAAAACTTGGGAAGTTCAAGTCGTGTAAGACCAGCAAAACATACAAGAACTCAAGCAAATAAAGAGGACTGTACTATATCTTAACTAATTTGTAAGTAGTTATTTTATATCTATAAAGCAAAATTTCTGTATTTAATAACTGTAATTAATTTATCATATATACTTTTATTTCATTCGTATAATATTTAAAGTAATTTTTAAAACGTAAATTATTATACTTTAATTTTTTATATAAAGGAAAGTTCCATAAAATTATATAGATGTAATTTCTTTTTTTATTATTATTATTTAAATATAGACCATTGCCATTATTTATAATTTTCTTTGTCATATATATTTTCATCACGTTATCATACTATCTATATATTATCATCGCCTTATAAATTTTTGAATTCATTTCAAAATAAAACATATTTCGTATTACATATTTCTAATACTACTAATACACTAGTGAAACTCTTGGTTTATTATAATAAACAGTGATTTTAATAATTATTAGACTTCAAAAAGATACTTGGAACGATTAAACAAAAAAAATGCTTAATATTTAATTTGCGACAGATATTCTCATACTGTTACTATCGGAAAAAAAAATTTTAATTTTTGGTATCCTTTTACAATTCAACAAATGAAAAAAAAGGTCGAAAAAGAATTAGAAGAGGTAAGAAAGAAATTGATGAGTTTTGAAGAGAGAATACGAGTTTGAACGTAAGTTGGATAATGAATATTATAGGGAAGAAAGAAACGGAGGAATTGAAGTTATAGTTACTTGATGAAACCTCAGGGTATTGACAATTGTTGAAAGTCGAAACCTATTTAGACGTTTTGACTTTTTATTTTTAAAAGTCGAAACTGTCGAAAGGTTTAGACAATGT